CTCTCTATGTCTTTCTCATCCTCAGTGCTGCCATATTGGTCACTCACATTTGGTACATTGTTGAGGCAAATTTTTCTCAGTATATTTGGTTGTCAATAGGATAATGTTTTATTTCCAAATTAGGACTTGAAAATTTTATTCTTGAAGTTTTCTGTAGTTTATAACCATAAATCTCAGTTACTCTTTCTCATAAGGAAACAGGTAATTGCATAACATTTGTATGCCAAGTTGTAAAGATTTTTCCATCTTTTCTCTTCATTTTTAAATACTTTTTTCATTACTGCATGTTCTGCTGGTGCTAAAGGAATAACCCCACAACAGAGTGCTGTCCCAGCTCAGTACTGGATGCATGTGTACTCATATTTTTACCATGTTCTACAGATTTTCCAAGGTGATTGTGTGTTTTCCCTTTCCTTGAAAGGATTCATCAAGGTGCTATAAATTTCATTATTATTCTCTGGTTGGTAAGGATTACATTGTGTCTTTATTGAATACCAGGTTTAATTATTGATGCTTTTGGAGAATTAAGAGACCAACAGGAACAAGTCAAGGAAGACATGGAGGTAAGTCTCTCCATTTCTGACTTCACTTTTTTAGTTTTGGGTACTGATTTTTATCACTGCCTTTATCAAGACAATCATGAATATGGGAAAAAGGAGGAAGGACATTGCTTTTAATTCAAGAAATAAATATATTGTAATTGACCAATGTGCTTGTTGGGACTTTAGTAGGCTACAGGTATATACAAACTGTAATATGGTCTACAAACAGTATTATGTATATAAGCAGCAGCATGGTATAAACTCTGCCCCCTATGATTACAGTGACCATTGATTCAAAAATATCAGTTCTTTGACAAGTAAACAGACAAGTTACAGAAAAGAGTGATGAGCCCTTTATGGGAGTCAGTCTAGAGTATGGCATCCCTGGTGTTTGGTGATTAATTCACTCCTGAAGCCTCAGGGATGATCCCACAAAAGGGAAGTACAGCTGAGGCCTGAAGGTTATACAGGTGTCCACAGTCTTTGGAGAGGTCTGACAGTATGAGACAAAATAGGACAATTTAGGAAACCACTTTGAACCCGGCCTCTATTGCCCATCTCCAGGGGTGCCATTCTCATTGTATATTGTGAGAATGCTACAATCTGAGGTTATGTACCAAAACCCAGATGACAAGAAAAACCTTTTTTCCTGCAAGCATAAGTGGTTCAGGATGACTAGCAATGGGACTGGAGAATATGGCCAACTAATAAAGAGCTGGGAGCTCTGGTAGCATAGTGCCTAAGGTGCTTGACTGCTAACCAGAAGGCTGGTGGTTCAAACCCACCAGCCACTCCTCTGAAGGAAGGTTGGGCAATCCTACTTCCGTAGTGATACTGCCTTGGAAACTCAAAGAGGGGTCGCTGTGAGTCGGGGCCGACTCAAAGAGGGGTCACTGTGAGTTGGGGCCAACTCGACAGCAAACAACAACAACAACAACATTAAAGAGCCTATTAACTTATCTGGAAAATTTACAGCTTAATCTATGGGCTGTAGGAAACAAGAAAAGGATTTTAAGGAGGGTAGTAATGAAATAATGAATTTATAGTTTTAAAAGAAAACTGTTTTAAAGTGTGAGGGATGAATTAGAAACTGGAAAGACCAGGGACATAGAAGTGGCTGTCAGCATTTCCTAGGTAGAAGTTAGGAAGCATTTTCCTAAAATAGTGCCACAGAGGAAGCAGGGAACTAAATGAATTAAAAAGACTTGGAGATGGGCCAGATACAGGGGATGAAGAAAGTGGAGCAAGAAATGATGACACATAGATGGACAGTGCTGCAGTTATGTGACCTGGGTCAGCCAAGAGGAAGAACAGGTTTATGGGTAAAGCTGATGAGTTAAGATTTGAACCTGTTTAGTCTGAGAAACATTCAACCGGGTAGTGTAAAAGCCTGACTGTTCTCCCAAATTGCTGAATGTAGCTTATCTGCCATCAGCAGTTGTTGAACAGTAAGGCAGCAAGACTTTTATAAATGATCTTAATCATCTTGATTATAGGGCATCATTTAAGACATTATGAACACGCCTCAAGGGAGCTCTGGTAGCATAGTGCCTAAGGCACTTGACTGCTAACAAGAAGGCTGGTGGTTCAAACCCACCAGCCACTCCTCAGAAGGAACTGTTGGGTTTCCCTTCAGCAGGGCTCCCACAACCCAAGTCAGGGATAACGCCACCCAAAATCACTCACGAAAGACGTCTCTTGATGCAAAAGCAGGAGGAGTTTATTCGAAGTTCCAGCGCGCTGGAGCTCGACTCACATCCCACGCAGGGGCAGAGGAGTAGAGCACCCAGCGACAAAATTACACAGTATTTAAAGGCAAAACTACAAGGGGGTGGTCAGAGAGAGTACAGATAATTGGTAGTTTAAGTTTGAATTCTCGGAGGGAGTACAAACGATTGGTAAGTTTAAGTTTGAATTCTCCAATTACATGGTATGGTTGAGTTCAGGGCTTAGTCATCCTTGCCTTGCCCCAGTTCCTGGAACTGGGGCCCACCCTTTTGCTGGCCTTAATAGTGGCCTCTTATTGCAAAACTATATGTTCCTCGCCTCGCCCCAGTTCCTGGAACTGGGGCCCGCCCTTTTGCTGGCCTTAATAGTGGCCTCTTATTGCAAAACTATATGTTCCTCGCCTCGCCCCAGTTCCTGGAACTGGGGCCCGCCCTTTTGCTGGCCTTAATAGTGGCCTCTTATTGCTATATTAAAATATTACATTTTAATTTTACCTTAATTTTACATTTCTAATTTCGTATTTACATTTTTAATTCCACAGAACATGGGGCAATCTACTTCCATAGTGATACTCAGAAACCCAAGGAGGGGTCGCTATGAGTCGGATCCGACTCAACGGCACATAACAACAAGAACAACAAACATGCCTCAATGGTATCAAACAGCTTCTGATTTGCAGGGAAGATGAGCATCTGGAGTCACCTGAGGATAATAATGATTAAATTCCTTTGAGTTGATAATGTATGCAATTCTAACAATGTAGTGGAGGGTAGATGGAAGCAGGTGCTGTATGCAGCCTGCATGAAGAGAAGTGTGGTTGAGAGTAGGGAAATATGGACAGAGTATATACTTGGTTCCTAAAGATGAATGTTACTCTCAGGACATGCCCACAGGGACAGTGGTGGTTCAGTGGTAGAATTGTTACCATCCATGTGGGAGATCTAGGTTCAAATCCTGGCCAATGCTGCTCCTCATGTTCAGCCACTACCCACTGGTCTGCAGAGGCTTGCATGTGGCCATGATGCTGAACAGATTTTAGTGCAGCTTCTAGACTAAGATGGACTAGGAAGAAAGGCAGGTGGTCTGCTTCTGAAAATCAACATAACAACCCTATGAATCACAAATGTGCTGATCTACAACTGATCACATAGGACTGGGCAACATTTTGTTCCATTGTGCTTGGGGTTGCTAGAGTCAGAAACTGACTTGACAGAAACTAACAGCAACAACAGAGTCTCCTAGCATTAATCCTGTACCTAGCACAGTGCCTAGCTCATGGAAGGCCCTCCTGGAATAGCTTGGCATTGGCCTTCCACAAAGGGGAGGCCACCTACACCTTTCCGCCTGGTTGTCAGACTTCCTTCAGTCATATACCAAGTTTGCAGTGTCAGTTGAGGACACATCCAACTCTGCCAAGATAACTTTAATCAATGTCATGAGCAAGAAGGATCACTAGGGTGTGGCAGCTGACTGCCCGAGGCCCTGAGGCCATCCCCGGGGGCCGGATCACTAGGCCAAGAAATTGTCACTTAATGGTGGAGAAGATAAGGACATTGCTCTTCAGCCATAATCATCCTGCACTTTCTTCATCAGTTACTTCTTACCTCTGATGACTAAAGAGCATTTAAACTAACAGCATAATCTAGTCATGTCAACAGTTAAATTTTTATTCATGTGCTTGGCACAACCTCCATATTATCTTTCTGTTCACATTTATTGAGTAAGCAAAATAGCTGGGCCTAAATGGTGAATGGAGTCCCTGGGAAATACAGATGGTTACCATTCTCAGCTGCAGTCCAACCAGAGGTGCCTTGGAAGAAAGGCCTGACAATCTACTTCTGAAATCTACAGTCTACTTCTGAAATATCAGTGGCTGCATTGAAAACCTTATAAGGCACTGTTCTACTTGGACACACATGCAGTTGCCGTGAATGAGAATCACTCCCCAGTAGCTGTTGTTGTTTTTGTTTTTGTTTTTAAGTGGTGAGTTGTGTTTTCAGTTTGCTTTGATTTCTGAAATCTGATATTTTTATATTTCCCTTTGCCTTGTAGACCAAATGCTTCATCTGTGGAATAGGCAATGATTATTTTGACACAGTTCCACATGGCTTTGAAACCCACACTTTACAAGAACACAACTTGGCCAATTACCTGTGAGTGTGAACCATTCCCAGTCATGAGTTTCTTCCCCACACCCTCTCCACCGCCCTCCACACCAGCTCAGGAAGTTCATGAAACATGAGCGAGCAAGATTGGTTTCTTTTTCTTTACAATATTTTCCAGTTTCTGAAATCTCTGCGAGAAAAGACCAACAGCTAGTGGCTCTATTTTCCTCTGAATAGGTTCCCTTAAGTAATGAGGTTTCACCTCCTCATGTGAAATGGAAAAGTGGAAAGGGGGGAGCGGATTGAGTGCTGAGTTTTCCATTTGAATAGGAACACTCAGCCGCTTCCTAGAGATTTGTGAAAAAATTCTTTTCTGAGGACTTATTGATCCCCTTAGGCACTATTGGAAGCACAACTAAAAGCTGCAGTTTTTTAAATACATAAAAATCTAAGTACTACAGTTTGGTACCATATTGTTAGTTTCTGACCCAGTTTTAATATCAAACAGAGGAAATGGAGAGTAACATTATAGAAAAATATGTGGGCTTTGGAAGTCACAGCTGTGTTACTTTAGGTACCTTACTTAACCTTTCTGAGCCTCAGTTTTCTCAATGGGGATTGTGATTCCTGCCCCATGTTTGAATAGGTGTGGATACAAATGCACTGAGCCTGGCATATAGCAAGCAGAGGGAACTTGATCTTTAGCCAAATTCTACCTCCTTTGAGATGTTTTCACAAAGAAATTTGAACTTCTGGTCCCTACAGCATGTTTGCCTTGCAGTTTGGACCCATTTATTTGTACTGTCAGCACATATAGGGACTTGAAGTATATGGAAACACTGGATTAGCAATATGATAGATAATTCAGCACAGTAGAGCCATCTGACAGCACTGAAGGGCATTGCTACAGTTTTCTCAGGAATTAACTAAAGAAGTAAATTCAAAGTTAGTAATCTTTTACATAATTCAACATTAATATTTCTGTTAGTAACCAATGAAAAATACAAAATAAAATCTGACTTGGAAAAATGGAACTTAGAAGAAACAAGGCCACGAAACACCTTCTCAGTAGTAGAAATTCCACTGGAAAAAAATGATATGAAAAATTGCAGAAAATAATTCTATCAAATTTTCACTGCAAAATTTTTGTGGGAAAAAATTGACCTTAATGAACATATTTTCATTAGTATGAAAATTGGAAAAATCAGAATTAACTATACTTAATTGAAACTTGGTCAGGAAATTAGAACTTCTCATTAAGCTCTTCTTCATTTAAAATTCATCAGTGTTGATTTGATTCTGACAAAAATGTTTCTATTCCTAACCTGAAGCCAGAGTGTCTTCAGATGAAAATCACCCATCAACTCAGAAAGGTCAAGTCAGAAAACCTCTGTACTTATTTCTGGTGCAATATAATTAATTTTCCAGAAAATGCATTTGTATTATATTCTTGATGCCAAGTATAGTTGAATTCAACATAAAATATGTATATCATTTCCTATCTGTGTTGGCTGATATTTTTATACAATCTATTTCTGATAAGTCTCTCTGCACCTGTAGGTTTTTTCTGATGTATCTCATAAACAAAGATGAAACAGAGCACACAGGACAGGTACGTGAACAGTGACTGTATTCCATCTTCTGAAAGAAATTATAAAATCCCTGCACATTGGAATAAAATATGCGCATTAAACCTTATGGGTAGAATCACCCTCCAAAATTAGCTTTGTTATTTATCATAATATAAAATTCCTGTTATCTTGGATAAGTGTGGAAAATTTGCCTTTGTTAGAATCTAATGTCATGTGACAAATAAGTTTGTTTAACTGAAAATGCTGAGTCTGGGTTTTTAAATCCCTCTTATAAAAAAATTGAGTCTTCCTAATTATAATGTTCTTGATTGCTTAATCAGACAGCAGAAGATTTCAACTGAACTTCAACTCACAGCATTATTGTCAGTTCAAAATAATTGCTTATTAACTGCCTGAGGTTCTTCTCAAGCTATTTGACATCTCCCACCCCAAGCAAGTATTGTTCACTTCTAATTGTTAATAGATTGAATTTGAAGTAGTAGTAGTAGTTGTTATTAAGTGCCGTCGAGTCTGACAGACTCATAGCGACCCCTCCTTGGGTTTCCGAGGCAGTATCACTACGGAAGTAGATTGCCCCATCTTCCTTCTGAGGAGTGTGGCTGGTGGGTTTGAAATGCCAGCCTTCTGGCTAGCAGTCAAGTACCTTAGGCACTAGGCTACCAGAGCTCTCTTGAAGTAGTTAGGATACACTTAATAATAATAATAATAGTTTCGAAAGAGTCCTCAAAAAGGTATACCACAAAAAATATATTTTTCTCATATTATGATCAGAATGAAGATTGATTGATTGTTTATTACTAGACACAAATAAAGGCTAATATAGGTAGTTAAGGAGCTCTGGTGGCAAGGTCAGTGGTTCAAACCCACCAGCCGCTCCACAGAAGGAAGATGGGGCAATCTACTTCCATAAATATTTACTGCCTTGAAAACCTAATGGAGATCACTATGAGTCAGAATTGACTCAATGGCAGTGAGTTTGGTTTTTGGTTTTTATAGGTAGTTGGAAGTTCCTACATAGTATAAATGGTTAATGCCTTTAGCTGTTAACCAAAAGGTTGGCAATTCAAGTCCACCTAGAGGGACTTTGGAAGAAAGGCCTAGTGCTCTACTTCTGAAAAATCAGCCACTGATAATTCTATGGAGTGCAGGTCTACTCTGACACACATGTGGCCCACATGAGTTAGAGTCAACTCCGTAGCAACTGGTTTGTAATTACTTAAGAATGATGTAAATGGATCTGAAACTTCTCCAGTTATGTGTGATATGTGCAACACCAAATTTGAGTTTCTTTCTATCTCATATTTTGTAGTAGCCACATTTTGGGGAAGGACACAATGTTAATACATCTCCTTTCCTTTTACAGGAATCTTATGTCTGGAAGATGTATCAAGAAAGGTGCTGGGAATTTTTCCCAGCAGGAGATTGTTTCCGGAAACAGTATGAAGATCAACTAAATTAAACTCAGACCCCAGTTACCTCTAGAAACCAAATCTTTTCACACTCTCTCTGCTTCTCTTGACTCCCTTGGAAACATCTTGCTGATTTTGTGAATTGCCAATGTTGCATGCTTTCTGGGAGCATTGCAGCTATTTCTGAAGACCAGACTGTGCTTTTCCCCCCCACTTTGTGTATTTTCTTTAAGAACGAGGAAAGCAGAATAATCTAAATTCATACCCAGCAAAATTGGAACTCTGGAAAGGAAACCATTCTGGACACTCTCATAAGCAAACCAAACTTTTTCTTCTAAGACTCTGGACATCTCTTGGAGTGTGGGATTCCCCAGAGAAGCGTGATATCACACTCACCTGGTCTCTTTAGTTCACCATCCTGAAAGGAACTTTCTAATGGTCACTGAGCACTGTAGCACTTAACAGATTGCTGTGGACACCAGTTGTGAAAGGAAATAGTGCCTTACTATATGTGGGTTGAGCTATGCAGAAGATATGTGCATGAAAAAATCTTTATTTTCTTTATGTTGACTTTTTTTTTCTTAGATTCACTTTGTGAGTTGATTTTATTTCTTCATTCTTTTCTTTGGTGGGGGAGGGTAAAGAAAGCAGTTTGTGCATACTCTTTTAAAAAGACAGTGGTGTGACTCAGGAAAAGAGGAGGCTCTTCTTATTCAGCTTAATTCACATTTACCCTCCCCGTGTGCTCCTGCTTTTATTTTGGTAATGCTCTGATGCAACATTGCAACTTTATGAAATCTTTGTATGAACACAAAAAGACTGCAAAAAATACACTTTCAAAAGAAATAATTCATTGCATGTTTATTATGCAAGTTTAAACAAAAAAGAAAATCTTCAGAACGTGAGAGAACTTTCATGTAATTATATTCATAGTAATAAAGTGTCGTGGGCTTAATTGTATATTTGGAGCCAGTGTCATCAGCCAACAATGTGATACATTATGAATTTGACAGTCGTTTTGGGTTTTTCTTTTTCTTTTGGCCACCTGTGATCAGTTGTGGATTAAGGACTTCTTGCAGGCCATTTTTTAATATTAAAGCTGAAGCAATATCCATTCAGGGATTTCATCAGTTGCATCACAAAACACGGATGATACTATAAATCACTCCATTTTGAGTCCTTTTAAATGTAATGCTGATCTTTACAACTAAAAAGGCAGATTCAGAATGGAAGCAAGGTCATTTTGCAAACATTGGAGCTCTTTTCTTACAAGTCTGCTTGTTAATTTTAGAATTGTAAAACTGCTCTGATTAAACTATTTAACTAACTTTGCACCCTCTTCTTTCTCTATTTCACTTGCAACTAGGATGCAGTATAAAACCTTGAACTCTTAAATTGAGATGAATATACGGCATTTCCAAATATTACCATGAAATGTTGAACATTGTCAGATTTTCTTAGGAAGATTAGCACATTTTCAGGGGGCAGTGTTTGTACAGTGGTAGAATGCTCACCTTCTATGTGGAAGGTGCAGGTTTAATTCTTGGCCAATGCACTTCATAAATGGCCACTACCCACCTGTCCAGTGGAGGCTTTGTTATAGCTATTGTTGTGCCCAGATCTTGAATCCCCAAAAACCACCAAGGAGCCGATTCCACTGCAAAAGCATAGGGGTTGTTTATTCAAGCTCGAGCTCGGACCCTCAACCGTCACTGACACAGCGGTTCAGGATTGAGAGTCCCGAACTCAGGGGTAATGGGGTTTTTATAGGGGGTACAGCAGGAACGAGGAAGTTTCAATCAGAAAATTACAGGATTGGTTGACATTTTTCAAGTTGCTAGTTGTTCCTACTTGATTGGCTCTGTCTCGTGGGCCGAAGCCACAAACTTGTCGTTTCTAACTATTTTAGGTAAGGTATTTCTCTACCATTTACTGATTGGTTGTTGCTAAGGAGAATGCTTGGGAGTATCAATGAGGTGGGGGTAGTTAGGACTCTTTGTGGTTTTTCCAGTAACTAAAGCACTAAAGCGTGAAGTAAATGCTGAGGCATATTGCAAAATGGCTACATACTTAAAATGGTTACATACAGGGTGGTTATATAGAGACATGGTCTCACACTATGATGCTGAACATGTTTCAGTGGCACTTGTAGAATAAGCCAGACTAGGAAGAAAGGCTTGGCAAGCCACTTATGAAAAACAGCCCATAAAAACACTATAGATCATAATGGTCTGATTCTGTTGTGCCTGGGTTCACCATGAGGCTGAATCAATGGTTGGTGACTCAATGGCAGCTAACAGCCACCACAACAAGCAAATTTTCTGCATTTGTGATTATGAAATCTCAGAGTCACCAGACATCTGTAATCACCCAGCCCCACACCTGATTATTATGTATATCTTCACCATATTTTCTGTCATGAGATCATCCAGGTTTCTTGAAAACCTCAAATGAGAAGAAAATTCACTATTTCCATAATTGTTTGATTTTTTACAGCTCTCATTTTAGAAAGTACATCACTTCCTTGCTCAGGAAAAATTTATCTCTCAGTAATGTAGTAGGAATCCATTAGTAAGTGAAGATTTACTACAGCAGCAGAGCTCCTTAAGTGAAGATTAGTACGTGGTATATTAAACACTCCACTAGTAATTTAACATTTTCTATATGCCAAGGACTGTGCTGGGCAATGGTGACATGCCATCTGTCATTTTGCAGTTTATTGGCATAACATCCAAGCTATAGCACCTAGATTTTGCATTTGTCTTTTGGTATCATTTCTAGTTGGGGAAAGGAATACATTTGGGTGCTCTGTGGGAATTTCAGAGCCTGCTCAGGGAGGTGATCTTATGCCCTGAGGAGTATGAATAAAATGAATCAGGTCAGCTCTATAAAACATCAAAGAGCACATTCTCCTTTGCCATGAAACATTGCAGAGGAAGCATACAGTGGAGAGGAATAAATATTTTTACAGTACATAAAGTCCACCGATAGATTCAAGTATTGTATTTATAATGCTAAAATCAGAGTTGACATACAACAGCAGTACAGGTGAGAGATGAATGAACAAATTCATGGTTGCCTCCTCTACTTTGCAGACTGGAAAAACAGACTCTTCCTGAATGATTGCTCCTGGCTCTAGAGCCATAGGAGATGACTAGCAGAAGTGATAAAGGGGAAGCAGAGAGAAAGAGGATATAATTAGGAGAGAGGAAGTTTCCCTCAACCAGTGAGGTTCTGGGAGACCTCACAGTTGAAGGAAGAATAAAGGAATAGATCCTTGCCACTTCAAAAAGTCACTTCCCACCCTCATCGCTGGCCGATAATTAGAAGGATACCTCTTCTTCATTTCCTTCTCAAGACCTCCTGAAGGGAAATGGTGGGGGTGGGGTGGGGGGGTTCTATCAGCATTATTATTTCCTGCAAAAAGTCCAGGGGGGAGCATCTTCTGACCTCTTCCAACCTCATGAAGGGGAGACAGAATCACCATCAGCAGCCCAAGGCTTATTCCTATGAGGCCAGACATGCTGCCACCCTCTAGCCTTTTTACCAATTCTGACACCAACTGTCCCACCCACAGCCCTCTACTTCTCTGTTGGGTTCAATAATTTGCTGCACTGACCACACAGAACTCACAGACAATATTTTTTATTATGGGATTTATTAGGAAAGTAATGGGTTACAATTCAGGTTCAGGAATACTCAGTATACAATTCTTCAATCATTACAGCCTCGTTGTGCCATGCCTACAGACATGCTTCTCTTTGGGCTTTGGCCTCTCAGCTTGGCCTATGCCCTGTTCCTGCAAGTGTTAAGAAGTTATTTTAACTCTGCTGGTAGGTGTACGCCACACTCTGCCAGCAAGCCTCCTTTCCAAAGGCACTGAGCTTTCTTGCTCCCAGGCCAGCAAGCCTGCCACACTGTTTCATGCTGATCTTTCAATTCTGCTGCTTATGCTGCCATCATCTCTCTACTGGTCTCTGCCATCATCTCAGCTCAGGCATCTCATGTTCAAGGATGTTCTCCACTCTCAGCTCTTCTCTGTCTTGATGGTTAGTGAGATGCCCCCTCTGACTCTAGGAGGACTCAATTTAAGCCTAGCAGAATTACAAAACTGACTAATCCCCACTGTAGGGTTCTGTATACCTTATTTCCATAGTGTCACCCCCACAAGGGTGCCATGTATATTATTTACATTATTAACAAGCAGTCCAATCCCCTTGGTAGGCCATATAACACCTCATATTTACATAGTTCCACCCAATTATCTGATGAGAGTCACAAAAGCCGTGGCTAGAAGAGCCCTACCTAGTAATTCACTGCACCCCAATTCCCCAGAAAATGTCACAGTGAATTTCCAATACAATGTGCTTTTCCACTTCTCTGATTAAACTCAGGCCTTCCTGACTCAAGTTCAAGAAATGGAACCCGTTTACAAAATCTTCATTGTACAAATATTCAAATATTCACAAGGAAAGAATATGATAATGAACTCCCATGGATCCATATGTCAGCTTCAACACATATAGACATTATTCTGCTACTCTTAATTCATCTATTCCTTTTATGTTTTTCCCCTAGAAAAGTATAGCACCTTTTGATCCTGCTTTTTAAATAAATCATAGTTTAAATGGAAATTTTCCAAATGCACTGTGCTCATGTACGTCTTAATGGTCCTCCTCTGATTTATGTTCATTATTTTTCAGGTGCAAGGAGCAGTTTATTCTTAGCCCCACCAAAACTCATTTTTGTGTCACTGTAAAAATAATATTTAAGAAATTTATACATTTTTTCCCTATCTAGATTTGCTGAGGAAATGTTCATATTTCTTAAACTCCAATTTTGTGAGTAAATGTACCTATTTACATTCATCACTTGACATCCAATTGCCATCCAGTTGATTCCAATTTATGGCTACCCCACATGTGGCAAAAATAGAACTGTGCTCCATAACAATTTCAATGACGGTGACCTTTTGGAAGTAGATCACGAGGCCTTTATATGAGGTGTTTCTGGATGAATTGGAACCACCAACCTTTCAGTTAGTAGCTGT